AAAAAAAAAAAAAAAGAAAAATTAAACAAAACAAGATTTTTAAGTTAATAGTTTAACTAGAACTGGAAGCTCCATTAAGTTAGTTTATATATGCAACATAGGATTAAATTTGTACAAAGTCATTCTACTTACCCAACTGTTGTTCTGACATGCTTGCTGGTTTATTCGATGTCTTTGATACTTTTTATTCTTCTTTAGAGCTAAAGTTTCTTATTTTCATGACTTATTTTAATCCTTTACATCTCTTTAAAGATTTCTGTAAAAACACCACATTTTATGCCAGATATCTCCGCTTGTCAGTCCTTCCCTGGAAATGGGGCAGCTGACATCCCCTGGCCCACGCTTCCTGTAGCTGAAGAGAAACATTATCCATCTCAGGTTGGCCAGATCCTACTTCAAATCCTAGTGGTCGCCGCCCTTTTTTTTTGAGATGGCATTTTGTTCTTGTTGCCCAGGCTGGAGTGCAATGGTACAATCTCAGCTGACTGCAACCTCTGTCTCCCAGGTTCAAGCAATTCTCCTGCTTCAGCCTCCCAAGTAGCTGGGATTACAGGCATCTACCACCATACCCGGCTATTTCTTGTATTTTAGTAAAGACAGGGTTTTGCCATGTGTGCCAGACTGGTTTCAAACTCCTGACTTCAAGTGATCTGCCCACCTTGGCTTCCCAAAGTGCTAGGATTACAGGCGTGAGCCACCACACCCAGCCCTGTGTGCCACTTTTAACTAGCTTTGTGAACGTGAACATGAAATTAACTTTTCTGAGCCTCAGTTTTCTTATATCTGAAATAGGGACAACCTCCCTCTCAAAAAATTGTTGCAAGAATTAAACGATTTCTATAAAGTACGTACTACATGCCTGGTGCATAATAGGTGCTCAATAACTGATAGTCCTTCTTTCTGCATCCTCTCATCTAAAACCACCTTTCTGTAGGTTTACATGATCAATTTAGCCCCAAGTAAGTAACTGATTATTGTGTAGCAGACTCACAATTTTAACATACCATTACCCAGGTGTGAAAAGACAACTTTTTTTATTTTCTATGATTCATCTGATCTTTTTCCTGATCCTCCATCCTTAGAAAACAAGAAAGTGGAATTTCTGCCCTGGGGCCTGTTCCAAACGTACCTGGTCCAGGAGAGAGTCCGCACTGTTGTTCTGATATTTGTGCCCTTTTCCCTCTCCCAGAGTCATTTCTTCTCTGGAAGGACTTCTGCATCCTCTCTCATCAGGAGGGGCTTACTTATCATCCATACTCTGTCTTCTTCACTCAGCCTTAATGCAGATGGGTATAGGGAAAATAAATGGTTTCTTGATAAGAGAACATAGATCAGAAGGCATTTGAAAATTGTCATACCCATTATAATTGTTTAGTACAAGGTGGCAAATGCGTGGCACTTCAGTACCATGACCACTGCAGACATAACTAATCAATCATGAGCTCCTTCTCCAAGATCCAGGGGGACACCTCAGGGCTGTAGAAAAGTCACCCCAGTAGACTGGCAATTGCACACAAAATGATACCTGTTTATTGCTGGCTTAAGATATCATAACTCCTCGAGAATATGCACTTTAGCACGGGCTTGCTAGACTCCTAAAACTTAACCCATAGAATGAATGAACAATGGTAGAAGTGGCTGGGCATGGTGGCTCATGGCTGTAATCCCAGCACTTGGGGAGGCCGAGGACAGCGGATCACGAGGTCAAGAGATCGAGATCATCCAGACGAACATGTTAAAACCCCGTCTCTACCAAAAATACAAGAATTAGCTGGGCATGGTGGTGTGTGCCTGTAGTCCCAGCTACTCAGGAGGCTGAGGCAGGAGAATCCCTTGAACCCGGGAGGCAGAGGTTGTACACAGAGCAGAGACCGTGCTACTGCATTCCAGCCTGGGGACAGAGTGAGATTCCATCTCAAAACACAAAAAACAAAAGCACCAATGGTAGAAGTTCAAATCCAGGGGCAGGTAGTAAAACAGGCTTCTAGATACAGGGTACTTACCAGAATGCTTAATTGTTTGCACATTGAAAAAATACATTTTCCATGTATACGTTCTACCCCCAAGGCAGTGAAAAACATTCCTAAGGGTGGATCTGTCTGGTCATGTCTCCTGTTCTCTCCCAGCCTCCACTCTGTAGCCCTGGGAGCTTTACTGTGTGAAATGTTAGTTTTCATCTCTCTTTCACTGTGCCTGCCTCTACCCACTAAGGCAGTGTGGCTGTTATAAGCTGCTAGTGCCTGATGCTCTATTATGTTTCTCTCTGTAGTGGTCAGTTCAGTTGTATATGATATATATATGTTTTTTGAGACAGAGTCTTGCTCTGTTACCCAGGCTGGAGTGCAGTGGTGCACCTCCCAGGTTCAAGTGATTCTCCTGCCTCAGCCTCCTGAGTAGCTGGGATAACAGGTGTGTGCCACCACGCATGGCTAATTTTTGTATTTTTAGTAGAGACAGGGTTTCACCATGTTGGTCAGGCTGGTCTTGAACTCCTGACCTCGTGATCCACCCACCTTGACCTCCCAAAGTGCTAGGATTATAGCCCTGAGCCACTGCACCCAGCTGCATGTGATATTCTTCTTCTAATTATATATATATATATATAATTTGCATGTGATATTGTTGAGAGACCTTTACCTCTGTGGTGGCCGATTACCTGCTTTGCCTCACTTTTTTTACTTTTATTTTTGAGAGGGAGTCTTGCTCTTTCACCAGGCTGGAGTGCAGTGGCACGATCTCGGCTCACTGCAACCTCCATCTCCCAGATTCAAGCGATTCCCCTGCCTCAGCCACCTGAGTAGCTGGGACTACAGGTGTGTGCCACCACACCCGGCTACTTTTTTGTATTTTAGTAGAGACAGGGTTTCACCACGGCCATGATGGTCTCTAACTACTGACCTTGTGATCCGCCCTCCTCGGCCCCTCAAAGTGCTGGGATTACAGCCATGAGCCACTGCCCGGCCTGCCTCACGTCTATCCCTGGTCAAACTTCACAGGAATGCTGATCCCAGAAGGGGTGGCTAAGGGAAAGCAGATGAACCGCCACAAAAGCAGTGTCCTAAAACCACCCTAGCGATAGATGGATTTTTCTACAACAATTTTTTGGCTTATACGCATGGCTTCAGAATTTTGGAGGGACTAGAATGACTGTGCCCGTAAATGCAGAGAAGTGCGCCCTGCTATGAAGGAACTGGGTTCTTTCCTTCTCTCTGTTCCTCGGTGCCGAACAAGGCACTACCTGGCTCAGTTTCCACACTCCATTAAGAACGGTTGTGGCCGGGCGCCGTGGCTCAACGCCTGTAATCCCAGCACTTTGGAAGGCCGAGGCGGGTGGATCATGAGGGCAAGAGATCGAGATCATTCCTGGTCAGCATGGTGAAACCCCATCTCTACTAAAAATGCAAAAATTAGCTGGGCATGGTGGCGCGCGCCTGTAGTCCCAGCTACTCGGGAGGCTGAGGCAGGAGAATTGCTCAAACCCGGGAGGCGGATGTTGCGGTGAGCCGAGATCGTGCCATTGCACTCCGGCCTGGGTAATAAGAGCAAAACTCCATCTCAAAAAGAAAGAAAGAAAAAAGAAAAGAAAAAGAACGGTTGTGCTGATTCTTAAATGAATTCCCTGCTTTTCTGACTAGTGACCAAGGGAATTTTCCGGCCTCTTTGCTAACAGGAGAAGCACTCGAGATGACTCCTGAACTTGAGGAGCTAAATTTGTCTTGGAACAGTAAAGTGGGAGGAAGTTTGCCTCTGATCCTTCAGAAGTTCCAAAAAGGGAGCAAGATACAAATCCTGGAGCTTGTGGATTGCGCCCTCACGTCAGAAGATGGGGCATTTCTGGGTAAGCGGAATTTGAAGAGTCTATCCCAGAAAAAAAAGCAAAGATGGGGCCGGGCGCGGTGGCTCACGCCTGTAATCCCAGCACTTTGGGAGGCCGAGGCGGGTGGATCACGAGGTCAAGAGATCGAGACCATCCTGGTCAACATGGTGAAACCCCGTCTCT